AATGTTACACTGAAACTATTACTAATTACGTCTCTATTCATGTCTCTCTTTAACCACTAGTTTGTTTCAAGTTAACGTCTGTCAGAAAAGCATGTGTCTCCAGCCAGGATAAGTGTTGTACATTTCGGGTGTATCACCAGTCAATGTCTACTTCATACCATTTGCAATTTTGTTTTCCCATCCCATTCCATATACGTCAGTGTCTTTGACCTTATAACTGATTCAGCTCTGCTAACAGTAGCAGAATATATCTCTTATTACTGATGCTAACATTTATTTACATCTGGTGCTAAGCATCATATAGAGGATCAAACATAACTTACCTGAATGTTGGTGATCTGATTCAGTTTGGTTCACTTTCGAGTTTCTCCAATCTGGTTTGGATGTGGGTAGAACTTTTTTTCAAATGATTTTTTTTCACACAAAAATGCTTAGCCTTCAGATTTTGCAAACTTTGCATTAATTTCGAGAAAAAATACGGATTCTGTGAACAAGTTCTAACAAGGTGATACAAATAACATAATTGTCAGTAAATATTTTAAACATCATTAGTAAACCAAGACATATTCATAATTCATCACTTTTATGGGATTTTGTTTGAAATAAAATAAAACCAATGAAATTATGCTCAGCACTTGGTAGACTGTGTTCTGCAGAAATGAGTTCTCATGGCATTATTATTCTGTACAGCATTTCACGAGGAAATGTCATTTCTGCAATTAAACTAAATGTGATGGTTTAATTAACCAAGGGGACCCAACGCAGAGATCCTGCATAACAGCAAGACGTAGGTGGTGAGGGTTTGAGTGTAATTTGTCTGTGGAAAAAAATGGTCATAACAGTCAGTCCTAATTAATGTAAGTAGACATCGGGCTTTACTTGATATATTTTGTGAAAGCGCTGCACTGTTTTCATACATTTGCAAACTATGTTTCGCATCAGCAAATCAAATAAATGGGAGAAGAGGGGATTTGATCCTGAGCTACTGGAAAGGAAATAAGTCAAGTTTACGTTGCTTTTATGGAGATGTTATAAATCCTTTACAAGAGGTTTTTACGTTAACATTGCAATTAATGTTGATGAACATAAGAAAAGTAGGGAATGGGAACGTTCACTTGCTAATTGTCCTCTTGTCACTAACACACTTGACCGATCAGCGGAAATAATCTCTCCCTATCAACTATATCAAAACTCTAAATAAATAACCATCTCTATTAGACTATTGGCACCCTCCATGTTCCCACAAAGAATATTTCAGGAGTCCAAAAGGTTAGTTCTGCAGCCACTGCCATAACAATCTGAAGACCTGCACTGTCAGCTACTGGCCACCAGATGACGCCACTGATGTGCAATTGTTCATTAGTACCACTGGGTGGCGATACTGGACTGGACTGTATAATTCTGCATTGATGCCACTGGATGGCACTGGAGTATGTAACTTGGGGTGAAATTCCTCATTGACAACATTAGATAATCCTATGTTAGTCAGGGCACCTGACCTATTTTGCATCATCTAGAAACTCACAGCACAGACATGTACTCTCTTTGCAAAGATATTCCTCCTAATCTTTTCCTTCACTTACTCTTTTGGCAATGACCTTAAATTTATGCTTTCCAGTTGCTAACTTGCAACGACCTGTGCGGGGAAAATACAGTACACCTTGTGAAGCACTTTGACGCATTCCTCGTGATGTGAAAGGTGGCGTTTCAAATGCAAGGGTCGTTCGTATTAGTACGATAACAGTTGAGATGGCTGAAATGTAAAATTTTCTGATGGAGTTTTAGTGATATTTTCCAGTTCACGCAGCTTTATATACAAACTACAATAATGAAACGTGTAAGATAAACCATCTGTAAAATGAGCAGGTAAGGCAGGCCTTCAAAATTGCTCCAGAGACCCGTAACTAACACAAATTTGCAAAAACCGAAGATTGATTACTGAATACCATTCGAAAAAGTTAAAAATTTATGAGTGTTTTGTTAGCAGTGAGAGCGAACGGAAAGTAAATTATGCAGCAAAAGAGTAGAAAATTATTCTAATGATTTATGTACCTAACAGCAACTGGAGCACATCAACTGATAAGGCTTTATAATAATAATAATAATCCCTCCAAAACCAAGAACAATAATAAATTGGTCATTTTCAATCAACGACGGTTTGTGGGACATTGCTGTGCGCAATTGGCTGCCGCGTTCGCCCACAAATGTGCAGCCAATTCACGTTGCAGTGTGTTCTGTGAAGCGCTTTGGGACGTCCTCCCAACGTGAAAAGTGCTATATCAAATGCAAGGATTATTATTATTATTAATAAGATAATCTGATAGAGCATTTACACTGATGTGCTTAGCAGAGTCTTAGCCTATCTTGAGTGACAATCATAGAAAAAGCTGCACATTATAACTTATGGATAGAAGCAGCTTAAGGTCAAATTCGAAACAGGAATAAAGACAAAACAGGGATGACACTGGAGCTCTTTCTTCTCCAGGCAGATTTCTCCAATTATCACTTTCGTCAGATTTCTATCAGCGCCTTGGGACGTCCTCCCCAAATGAAAGGCGCTATACAAATGTAATTTTATTGTTGTATCAGAATGATTGCTCCTCCCAGCAGTTTGGCAATTATACTCCAGACTAGTCTATATCTAGTGACCGATGTCAATGAAATTGTGAGATTGGGGTGGTTCTGTGAACTATCCAAACTAAAGGGCTGAAATAGCTTAGAGACAACTTTACCAAGAGACAATACTGGAAAAGGATAAAACTGTGGTTTAACATTTTTAACTGTGATAATAATAATCCTTGCATTTGATTTGGTGCCTTATCACGTCATCTCGACTTCAAAATGTGCTTCACAGTATTTCACTGTGAAGTGTGGTGACTGTATTTGTTGGCAAACACAGCAGCCAAATTGCCATAAGGTCATATCAATTATAAGAAACACATCATTTGAACATCACTGTTAAACTCTTTTCTGGAGACCTGACAAGTAAATTCATTCATTTATTAGTTTGCTCTAGAAGTCAGACTGAGTTACCCATCTGGTGTTCCTTGAAACTGGATCAATCTGCTGCCTTTAAATTTGGTAAACTTGCAATTTCTTCCTTCAATTCTCACAAGCGCACGTCAGTCTGCTTGGCTGAAGATTTCAATCCTGCAATTATCTTTCTCACATTAAATACATTGGCAAATGATCAGGGCACAAGACTGTGCATGTTGCAAATTGAATACACAGCTTTAGGAAAAAGTTGCTCTTTACTCTGTTAAATGCTCCACTCACATTGCTCTCTTTATCAAAGCCTTGTCTTCTCTGGATGCTTTCTTTGTACTTCAAGACGCAAGATCTGTAAGAATAGCTCAGTTTTCCTCTGACAAATTCAATAAAATGCTCATGAATGCTATTCCATCATAACACACTGAATGGTCATTGAAATTTTTGTTCTCTAGAAATCCCCAAATTCAAGCTGAGCCATGTATAGTTACAGAAAAACTGGCTGAAAAATTAGTCAAAAGTCTGCGTTCACTAACTTGACAAATGTCAGATACTCTGAAATGTTGATGGAATAAATCTAGATTCAGGAATTTAATAATAATAATAATACTGCTTGCATTTTATACAACACTTTTCATGTCTTCCAGACATCTCAAAGCACTTCACAGAATAGACTGTAAAGTGAATTGACTGTATATTTTTGGGGCGAAAACCGGCAGCCAATTGTGCACAGCAGTGTCCCACAAACAGTCATTGATTGAATGCCCAAATTATTATTTCTTTCTTGAGGGATTATTATCAGGAGTGTGGAGCAAGGAAACTTGCCCAAGGTTTGGCCCTGCTGGGAATCAAACCCAGGTCTCTCGCTTGCGAGGCGAGTGCTCTAACCACTGAGCTACAGGACTCCACAAATTTCACCCATTCCTGAGCAATAAGAGTCAAATCGGTAAATTATATAGGCTCTTGCACACAACTTACATAAGCGCCTGCTGAGTGTTCGCAGCGACTTCTAAATGTTTGTCTCATAACAAGATGTGCAATAAAAAGGCTCTAGGCCAACTCAGACAATTAAAGTATAATCCAGTTTTCTGGATTGCTGTTCCTTTTACTTTTTTTAATCCAATATCTATTTGAACAAAACAACCTCCTTCCTCTCTTGCATATTGTTGCTTACGTATCTGCTGGAACGTCTTATTTTACCACAGGGCTATGGTGTACTTGCCTTTGGCTGCATTCCATTTATAGATCTATTGGCAGCATTTTGTGAGTGTGCATGTTTTACTTTCACCGTGTGGCAGTTTATCGCATCAACTCACTTCTCGGTAGCTTTCCCTCAACATTTCTGAAGTTCTTCTGCAGGAACCTTTAGGTGCAGATTTCTAACAAGGAAATGCAAGATGCAACAAAAACGTAAATTTTTGGAGCTTTCAGGAATATTTTTTAGAAATATTTAGATGGTTTCGGGTTGGGTGTTCTACAAGCTTGTTCTTCGTCTACAAATACACTCACTTCAATAATTCTGTGAAGCGCTTTGAGATGCTCTCCTGGCACTATATATATTTAATAACAATAATAACCCTTGTATTTGATATAGCGCCTTATCACGTCTCAAGGCTCTTCACAGAATATACTGTAAAGCGAATTGACTATTTTTTTGTGAGCGAAATGCAGCAGCCAATTGCGCACAGTAGTTATTATTATTATTATTATAAGAAGAACTACACTAAGGTGCAGATTGAGTTTTGCAAACGCGGAGCCCTTCCTCATACACCATAGTCTGTTAAACATAAAACAAAAACACAAATCTGGAAAGTTGTGTTCACCTAGTGGATGAGCCTGCGTGGTGAAAACTTTGGCTGCGAAAAAAAAACCAGTGTCGCAATCCTCATGCAAATGTGCTGAGTGTTAGCTGAATGTGAGTCAGTGGCACTGAGACCAATCACTTGATCAGACACACCCTGAGTTGGAGAGAAGAACTCAGCTCAGGGTGTACCCACAGCTCATTTCAGCAGCTAAAAGACAGGTTGTTTCTGGAGATTTGCACCACTCAGCAAAACAGGAGAGGCTGTCGAACTGTTCCCTCTATTGAGCTATAAAGAGTTGGAGCAGTTCTGCTGTGTTTAAAGTGGGCTCTGGCTCTCCCACTCTGGTGCTGGTTACAGACAGATTCCCAGCTCAGGCAACCCCCAGGGTGTAAAGCTGGGAAGCAGTGATCAGGCATGGCAGGAGGCACAGAGAGCTTCTTTCGGACTGTCCTGCCCCAGAACGATGAGGAATACTCCAGCTTAGCTCTGCCTTCTGATGAAAAGTTAAAGCTGTCGTTATCCCAGCGACAATATGAAGACAAAAGCTTGAGACTCAGGCAGCAGGTCCAGCTGTCCATGTCCCGTATGACCAGGAAGTCACAGACAGGTGAGTTACCCACATACACACACACACCAGTGTTACAGCAACAGCAGGTCTGAATAGAGCCAGTGGTGTACAGTGGAGAGGTTGTTTCTGTTGCACATGAGTTTAGGTTTTCCTTGCAGGAGTGTGTTCGTGTAAATCAGATGGAATAACAGTGTGCTGTACACCAACAAGGATAAGAACATAAGAATTACGAGCAGGAGTAGGCCATTCGGCCCCTGACCTAACTCTAATTACCTGCCCTATCCCCATGTCATGACCCAACTGTGCAGCGCCTTGGGATGTCCTCCTGACGTGAAAGGCGCTTTATAAATGGAATCTTGTTGTTGTTGTTGTTGTTGTAGTGAATTGCATAAATTCACTACCCTCTGAGTGAAGAAATGTTTCCTCAACTCTGTTCTAAAAGGCTGACCCTTAATTTTAAGATTATGACCCCTGGTTATAGATTCTCCTACCAGGGGAAACAGACCCTCAGTGTCTTACTTTATTCAGCCCTTTGAGAATCTTATATGTTTCAATAAGATCCCCCCTAATTCTTCTGTACTCTAGAGAATATGGCCCTAGTTTATTCAGCCTATCCTCGTAGGTCAGTCCCGTCATCCCAGGAACTAACCGAGTGAATCTACGCTGCACCCCCTTGAGGGCAAGTATGTCCTTTTTTAAATAAGGAAACTAAAACTGCACACTATACTCTAGGTGCGGTCTCACCGGGGCCCTATACAGTTGCAGCAAGACTTCCCTACTCTTGTACTCTAAACCTTTTGCAATGAACGCAAACATGCCGTTTGCCTTCTTAGTTGCTTGCTGCACCTGCAAACTAACTTTTTGAGATTGGTGTACAAGGACACCCAAATCCCTCTGAACACTAACACTATCTAATCTCTCCCCCTCTAGAAAATAATCTGTTTTTCTATTTTTTCTACCTAGCTGAATAACTTCACACTTCCCCACATTAAATTCCATCTGCCACCTGCTCGCCCACTCCCCTAACCTATCTATATCCCGTTGCAGTCTTTTTGCATTATCCCCAGAGCTTACTCTCCCACCTAGTTTAGTGTTATCCGCAAATTTAAATACGTTACATTCAATGTCCTCGTTTAGATTTTTGATGTAAATTGTAAATAGCTGAGGCCCAAGCACTGATCCTTGTGGCACTCCACTAGTCACATCCTGCCAATTCGAGAATGACCCGTTTATCCCTACTCTCTGTTTTCTACCCGTTAGCCACTCGTCAATCCATGCTAATATGATCCCATTGATCCCGTGGGCCTTAACCTTGTGCAATAGCCTTTTGTGTGGCACCTTGTCAAATGCCTATTGTGGGTGCAATGCTGGTAGTGTCCTATTTTAGATACGCTGGCATTGGTGAGGGTGAAGAGCTGAGGCTGGGATATGTCTAAAATGCTTCCCATATTACATTGATAGTCACAAACTGAAACCTTTTTTATTATTTATTAACTGTTAATCTGCTACCTACTCGCCCACAACCCTCGCCTATCTATATCCCGTTGCAATCTTTTTGCATCATCCTCAGAGCTTACTCTCCCACCTAGTTTAGTGTCATCCGCGAATTACCAATTCATCTAGTACCTTTGAAAACTGAGATCAGGGCTCCCTCCCCACAAGAGGTGTCAGCCTGGCTCAGTTTTGCAGCTCTTTGCCCTCTTGAGTCAGAAGGCAGTGGGTGCAGCCTTTGAACTGTCAGTCTAATTGCTGACACTACAATGCAGCGTTGAGGTGTGTGTGTGCTACATTGTGTGTGCGTTTCGCCCACAAATATACGGTCAATTCACTTTACAGTATATTCTGTGAAGCGCTTTGAGACTTCTACAAAACGTGAAAAGCGCTATATCAAATGCAAGGATTATTATTATTATTATTACTACATTGTTGGAGATGCTGTCCTTCAGTTGAGATGTTAAACCAAGGTTTCCGTCTGCCTGTTGAGGTTGAACATTAAAGATCCCATGGCATCCTTTGAAAAGAGAAGGGAGTTTCTTTTGGAGTCCTGGTTAACAATCCCCCAAATAAAATTTATCATTCTCTTCACGGACTCTGGGTTGGACGTTGCTGTGTGCAATTTGTCTGCAGGATTCACCTACAAAATATACAATCACTATCCTTTCTAGTTTCGCCCAGAAAATAAAGAGTCGATCCACTTTACAATATATTCTGTGAAGCGCTTTGAGACATTCCAGCGACAGAATAAGATGCTGTATCAAATACAAGGCTTATTATTATTAGAATAAGGCAGTTTGAGACACCCCTCCTGATGTGAAAGGCACTATATCAAAAGCATGTTTTTTTTTAAATTATATTTTAGGATCTTCCTGTTTTCTATATAAACATGATTTGGGGTCTGGGCAAGCACCTATATGATGTAGTTTTATTTAGAAGAGGGAAAGAACCTGTGGGTTTATAAAGCACAGTGCTTCAGAGGTAATTACTGTCAAATGTGGTGATTGTTTTATGTAGGCAAACGTAGCAAACTTTTGGGCTGGTAGGCAAGGACCCACAAACAACCATGGTGCTATTTGAAAAAAGAAGGGAGGTTCTCTCTCCCAGTGTCCTGACCAACAATTTGCCCAAATCAAATTGGTCACTCGTTCCATGGCTGTTTGTGGGACGTTGCTGTGCGCAGCTGGCTGCTGCGATTCACCCACAAAAATACGGCCACACTTCACAGTGTATCCTGTGAAATGCTTTGAGATGTCTCACCGATGTGATAAGGTGTTTTATCAAATGCAAGGATTATTAATGATGCGATTGGCCAGGATAATGGGAAAAACTCTCTACTCTGTTGAATAGTGCCTTGGGATCTTTAATATCTAAACAGGCAGAGAGAATCTCAGCCAAATGGTTGTCATGATGGCCTATATAAAATAGTCTCTACATTTGACAATAAATACAAAGTATTTTTAAATACTGTAGTTTTTCTTCTTAGCGCACTGGTGGATCACCAAGGAGATGAGAACTCAGGAAGCATGTGGAACTCTCCTCATACTTTCTGCATTCTGATTGTTGTGTCGACGACTGCAGCTTTATTTACAAATGTAACATTCGATTTATTTTCCATTGCAATTCTGAATAGTCATAACCTATCTATACCTTCCACCACTCTGTACTGCAAGAACCACCACTGCAACAAAAGGCTTCATCATTTTCTTGGGAACCTCCATGCATCAAAGAATTTTGTTAATTTGGGATTTGATATGGCATTTTTCACGTCTTCTAGACGTCCCAAAGCGCTTCACAGTAGATACTGTAAAGTGAATTGAATGTATATTTGTGGGCGAACGCGGCAGCCAATTGCGCACAGCAATGTCCCACAAACAGTCGTAGATTGAAAATGACCAATTTATTATTGTTTTTGGTTTTTGGAGGGATTATTATTAGACGTGTGGAGTAAGGAAACTTGCCCAAGGTTTCTCCCTCTGCCTGGAATTGAACTCGGGTCTCTCTCTTGCAAAGTGAGTGCTCTAACCACTGAGCTACAGGACTCCACTAACCCTAACCCTAATATTAAATTAGGTGTTAGCTTGACTTGGTTGGTGACTCTCTTGCCTCTGAGTCACGATGCTGTAGGTTCAAGCCCCACACACACTAAGGCTATGAGTTGATTATTTGAAGGAGCACCTCATTATCAGAGGCACCGACCTTTGAATGTCTTGTAGGTTAAATCAAAGTTCTGTTCAGGTAGATGTTAATCTTATTCGAACTATTGGCATCATTCAAAAGAAGGGTGTTTCTCTTGGTGTCTTAGTCAATAATCCTCCAGAAAATGTTGGTCATTCACTTCATGGCTTTTTACCGACATTACTCTATGCAAATTGGCTGCCACATTTGTCTATATTATGTTATTATTGTTATTATTAAGACTGAATCTCGCAAACTTGTGCAGAATTCTTTTTGGAAATAGATAAGAATGCATCCCTCCAAGGCGAAAGGGTGTTTTTTTTCCCCCAGATTGAGAACATTTCTATGGCTATATGACACTTGTATGTGGTATTCCAAGTCTTGTTTGGATAATGATGGTGATGGGTTTTCTGTGTGTGTGTCAGATACCACACGGACCAAAATCACAACCCTATCCTCCTCCCATCTCCTATTCCATTCTCCTTCCTGTATGCATCAAGCTTCTCTTAATGTAAGTTACAAGGAACAAAAATTGTTTACAGTATATCTTTATTTTCAGAATTTCAAAAGCGAACATTCAGTGTTCCTGATGATGGGAATATCAAGTTTCTTAGATCTAATCTATTTGATTATCCCACAATGCCAGTACAAGGGTCTCACAGGATCAAGAAGGTATGTAAGGAGTATACAATACAAATTTATATTTATACAACGCTTTTCAAATCAGGAGTTCGTCGCAAGGCGCCGGACAGACCTGGCTTGGCACCCAAGCTGAGGTTGAGAGTCACTGGTGGTAGTGAAGGGATAGATGATCAAATGTGCAGTCAAAGAGGAAGGTTTTGTGGGGATAGATAGGCTTAAAGCCTTAATGCCATAAAAAATTAGATGGCATATATTACATTTTTTTTTTTCAAATAGGAAGCCATTTGAATTGATGCTAACAAGAGCATACAGTAATCTAAAATTACAGGGAAGGGTAACCTAAAGTAAAAATCTCTGATATTTCTATAAGTAAATGGTCCAATGAAGGAACAGCAGCACTTGCATTTATATAGCGCCCTTCACACAGGGTAGCTTCATGGAGCTCTAAACAACGGTATTAGTTTCATGCCGAGCTGGTGAGAGAGAGAGCAGGTGGCCGGAAACACTCTGAAGAGGGGCAAAGAGGGGGCCAAGGTGGAGGGATTGAGCAGAGAGCGCAAGTTACAGTTAACAGTGTAGATTTTTAGAAGGGTTTTAAAAGTAGAGAGGGTGGAAGACCAGAGGGATTTTGAAACAGAGTTTGAGAAAGCGGATATTGTGCTTGGTTCTACCACCCGCTTGATACAAACAAAGGACATTTATTTTAGCCATCATTTAGTTTATGTTTGCTCTTGTATTACTTAAGTGTGTCTTTTTCAGGAATTTAGTCAATATAATACTTATGGACTTGGACAAACACTGAGAAGGCCACCTGCAGGACTTTCATCACATACCAGAAGATTCGAATTAGAGGGTTTACAGAGTATCACAAATAAACCAACACAGAGGATAGAGGTTTCTCCTGAAAACAGTCCGTATCTAAGCCGTGCTCACATTCGCACGGTTCCCAGATATGCTTCAAGAGGAACCATCAGGAAGGACAATACAATGCTCCATAAACGGTGTGTCAGCTACGACAACGCAATCGGAGGGAGACTCCACATTAATGCCCGGCCCAGTTTTCCCACTCGTTTAAAATATTCTCGAACGGAAACTCTTTTAAATTCAAGGCCCGTTGAGAAGAGAATGCCTTTCCAGATGTCACAGAACCACATAGTGAGATTACGTAAAGAGCCCGAGATCTACAATAGTGCCTTTATGCAAAATGATTGGGTCAACCCTCCTGCGACTGTTGCTCCTAATTATAATCAAAGCATGTCCAGGATGAGAGCTTCTGTCCTGAGGTCACGGAGACATATAGCGTCAAGGAATAGAGAGTTCGAGATCCACAATAGTGGTTTTGTGCACAATGAGCCTATCATCCCTCCAGGCCTTCCTTGTCTTAATCAAACCATGCCCTTGATGAAATCTTCTAGTCAGGGTTCACAGAAATTTACAGTGACCGCAACTATAGAGCCTCAGACCCCCGATAGTGTTTTTGTAGACAATGTCCCAACTCGTGCCCCAGTAACTGTCACGTCTGGTCTTAGTCAAAGCATGTCTAACCTCTACGACAAAAATCATATTACCAGCCTAGGCCAGAGGCCAACTGGAGTTTCCTTAAGCTACCAAGGTGCTGCTCACATGAAACGAGATGAAGCATGGAAAAGATTCAATTGGTATCAGGTGTCACAGAGACAAAACAACTTTACTGCCAATATTCCCGAAAACCCTGTTGTGCCACTTGCAGAGGAGAGCGAGACAGTTGCCGCACAGTCTTCTCAGGCTGTGAGAAATGATTTCCAGATACAAGTCCAACCAGAAAACTTTGTTGAACTTCAGGCAACAGATGCAACTGATTCAGAAAGGTAAATCCGAATGATTAGAAATGATGGGAATGGGAAATTCACAAGGCATTATCACTATTTAAAGATACGTATTTGTGTGATCCAGCAAGGGACAACCTGAAAGACATCAAATCTTCAACCAAATTTCCCAAAACACAGTTAAAATACCAAGGATTAAGGAATTGGAAATTAACCCAAAGAACCCAAACTTTGGGATTTGAGTTTGATGTACACTTTACTACCATTTGCTCTCAATAAATTATATTTTACAATACAGTCAACTTACTTTTTAAGAAGACTAAATTAGAAGATCATTAATTACTGTGTTTCATTATTAAATGTTCCTGTAATGCCTGAGTAGGAAAGTCAAGACGCCTGTTTGTTTTTTAAAAATAAATTCTCTGGAATATAAAAAAAACTTGCATGTAGTTGCAAATACTGTTGCTCCTGCATTGAACACTGCAATAATGTCCAGTTGATGACAAATTCAGTTCCATCTGAAACAATTCTGTCTCGTTTTAGTGTTTATGGGGAAGACATTGCATGGACTATGGAAACTGCAGTGGATGCCTTGACCAATGATAACACTGACTACACGCTGTATGGTGCAAATTTCATTCAGCACGAATGTTTCCAAAGGCCTGAAGCAAAGAAAGAGGTAAATGCCCCATCAACGTTTAAATAACATCTTGGAAATATGCTCACGGAGTTGAGGAAGGGTAGAAACGTTTGCTTATTTTTCCAAAACATTAACATTTTCCATTGCCCTGTGGAAACAGCTCTCTTTTGATGTTGTTTGTTTTCTACTATCATTTCCTTGACATCGCACAACCTGGGGTTCCAAGCATAGGTTAATTGTTTACGTTAACTTAGTTAGATGGTAGAAAGTTAAGAGTTAAAACGGGTTAGGCAGAAAGGAGTTAAGCTTTAAAAAGACTTATGGATACTGTAGGCATAATAAGTTTGGAGCGTGACTAAACAAGATTAGGCTAGGCTTGCAGAATTACCTACGTCCGTAGATTTAGAGGAGGATGGAGACAAAACAAAGAAAACACATACATTCTTTCTCCACCATTCTTTCTTCGCTATGTGGTGGGGAACAGAGGACTCATTCCTACTTTGGGCATTATTGAATGCATGTTTTGCTATGAATTTGGCAGGAAACGTGATGTCTTTATAATGAAGAAAGGTAACTGCATTGGATATATTTATCCCTCAATGTAATAATCCTGAATTATTTTAGTTGACAATAAAGCAACTAGTCAATTTTTGAAACCCTTTGTCACTTCTTGTTCCTCTTGGGCTGGTTGTCTGTCTGTGAACCCTTTACTAAAATCATTTCTTACGTTTCAGATTTTTTTTTGTTGTCCATAATTTGAAGATTTAAATCCTAGTACTTTATATAAAAAAAACTTTGTGTCTTTCAGTTGAATTTGTGAATGGTAGAATAATATCGCTATACTGTTGGATTCATTGGTTTTATTGGTGTAGGAAAGTTTAAAACTCAAAACATTAAAACTTGCAAATACATTTTTAAAGAAATTGTAATTTTGTGATAGTTTCCTGGTGGAGTTCACATGGTGATTGAATTGTGTTTTGAAGGCTTATTGAAGCTCTCATTTGTCTTAAAATGCTGAAAAGTAAGTCAGCAGTGTTCTTGTGTCCTGTTTTAGATTTGCAATGGAGGAATGCACCGCTACTGCTGAACACTGTACTTATTTAACCTCTTACATCTTGCTTGCACAGCTTTATAATTTAAATGGATTTGAAAAACTTGTGGCACTCCTGAAAGATGAAAATGTTGAAATTCAAAGGGCTGCTTGTGGGGCGATGCGCAATGGTGTCTTTGAGGACAATGACAACAAGATCGAGGTCAAGGAGCTAAACGGACTTCCTCAACTGTTGCAACTTTTGAGGCAAACAGAAGATATTGAGACACAAAAGCAAATCACAGGTGAGGTTCCTTCATTGATCATTTATTGATGCATTTTGTAATCTAGAATTAAAGCGCTCCAAGACGCCACCCCACATGAAGGGCGCTACATAAATGTATATTGTTGTTGTAGAATCCAGTATTGGCCAACATAACATGGTGACTGTCTGGTTGATTTAAACGATACTTGAGGTACATTTAAGGAAGATTTTTCATTTTACGTACATCATCATTTTATTATTTTGCTCAGGCTAAATTTTTCATTGGCATCAAATTCATCAGGACCAGCTTGTCTATCTTGCCCTCTCGTCTATTTCGCCCTGTAGTGTACAATGGTTAGGAATGATGGCTGCATGGATTCATGCGTAGGCTTAATTCAGCAACATAATAGTTTGTCTCCACAGCAGCAAAAACAGATTGAAACAATGACTATGCATAGTGGGTATTTACAGTGGTAGCTGTAACTCAAATTATCAGTCCTTCTGAAGGTTTTGTAGTGATTGTGATAGTTTTATGTGATAGCGATATCAATGGCAAGCTATGTGGTTTTAGCTGGTTAGACTTCAGCAGTTAGCCCAACGCACACTCTGGTTTCCCTAAGCTTTGGCTCTTGCCAATCTGTGCCTAATACTCTCCAGAATTAGGTAAGCAGGATGTATCCCTCCATTCCATTCCCAACAATTATCTCTGGAATTTCCACGTGTAGGTGGGATGCATGGAATTCTCAGCTTGGTTTGGATGCCCTTAAACATCGTGATGGGACACCCGACTGACCAAACAAAAAGTGATAGGCATAGAGCCAGTTCCAGTAGTGAAAGATGTGTCCTTGTCTGCCCTTCACTGATTATTTTTAACTTCCCTTTTGCTCAGGCTTACTGTGGAACTTGTCTTCCAATGTACAACTGAAAAGTGATCTAATCCAAGAAGCTCTAACCCCACTGACAACTTCAGTCATCATTCCATACTCGGGCTGGCCTGACAATGACAGTTGTGTGAAGAACACTTATATTGATCCCGATGTATTTTTCAACACCACTGGTTGCATGAGGTGAGTTGTTACTAGACTACAATTCAGTAGAATTACCATGACATTGAAAATTACATCCTGCGTGGCTGGGAATCTGTTTACTTGAATAGAAGAGGATCTCTTCGGTTACAAAAGTGACAAATAAATACAGAAAGAAATGAAATGCTTTTTATTTTAAAATAGATTTATTTTAAAATAAATTTGTATAGAGAGAAAACATTGGATTAAAGATTACTAAAGTGCTGTAAGTGGTTATTTATTTGCAAGGGTTGTGAACCAATCAATCAGTTGATTTAGAAATAGTATGCTATTGTAAATAGTTCTCTATTATTCAAACTATAAAATTTTCCTTTTTGTTTGAATAGCCAGTGTAATTCTGATGTGCTACGCTTTATCAATATGTATGTGGGCGGCATTGCCTAGCAACAGGAAAAATATGAAATAATTATTGCTTTCTGATATCCAAACCTCAAGGCTCTGACATCCTATTGAGTTCATTATCCTGAATGTCTAGTAGGTTGAGCAAAACCTGACCACTCAGTGTTGCTGCCAACATATTAATATTTACATTTGATATGTCGCCTTTCACGTCGGAGGTCCTCTCAAAGTGCTTCACAGGCTATATGGTAAAGTGTAGTGGTTTGAGAAAATAGTGTAAGTTCAGCTATAGAGCATTTGAGCCCTCATTTTGTGCAGGATTTTGGTCATCATACCTATCAGGAAAACTGCATACACAAACTCGTCTTTCAAATATAATTAGTTATAATTTCCAGCACTACATGTGATGACCTTCAAACTACAAGGTGTTACAACTGTCAGCAACCCACATTCTCTCCTGCACCAGGCTGTGTGAGCTGATCAACTCCACCCGGCTCTACTGGTTCTCTATCCCCGAGCAGATCAATTAAGGTCCTGGTCTTTCAAATGCATACACAGCATTGAACCACCCTAACTCTCTGATCTCCTGCTATAGTACTTTTCTAGCCATTCCCTCTGCTTCGCCAACTCATACCTGCTTCATGTCATCCTATCTCTCCAGGAATGACATGATTGAGCAACATGTTGTGTCTTAGTTTTTCAGTTAGTTGTAAAATGACTTGTCAGCTCTTAATTTACAAAGCTGACAATTCTTGCCTTCATGTGGCCAAGAACTGGGTTTATGAGTATAGGTGGAGTAAAAAAAAATTATGACACACTCTATTTTAGACGTTGTCATAAAGCAATAAGTCTACTTATTATGTGGGTTTGGTTTCAGTAATAAATCCATAAATAAATAAAACCTTACATTTGCTATAGCAACTTTCACATCAGGAGGATGTTTCAAAACACTTCACAGGGTATAGTTTAAAGAGCAGTCGGCAAAAATGTGGCAACCAATTTGTGTACAGCTGTGTCCACAAACAGCCATGACTTGAATGACCAATTTAATTAGGGGCCAGGATTGTTGGCAAGGACAGTGGGAGAAACTCCTTTCATTTCAATATAGTGCCATGTGGAATTATTAGTTAACTGCACTTATTTAGCTGTTTTTTTTATTTTTCAATAAAATAACTAATCAATCATTTGCTATTGAAGTGGCACCTTGGCTAATAATCCGCCAGATAAAATAGCTAATTGTTCTAAATAAAAGATAAACCCACTCAAACTCATAGTTGTTCAAAATTCTGCTTGGATTCCACAAAAAATTGTTCTTGAATATTTAATAATAATAATCCTTTCATTTGATATAGTGCTTTTTTACGTCTTCTCAACGTCGCAAAGCGCTTCACAGAATAGACTGCAAAGTGAATTGACTGTATATTTGTGGGCGAAACGCAGCAGCCAATTGCACACAGCAGTGTCCCACAAACAGTCGTGGATTGAAGTGACCAATTTTATTATTTTTTTTGAAGGATTATTATCAGGCGTGTGGAGTCCTGTAGCTCAGTGGTTAGAGCACTCGCTTTGCAAGCGAGAGACCTGAGTTCAATTCCAGGCAGAGGGCGAAACCTTGGGCAAGTTTCCTTACTCCACACAGAGCCTAATAATAATCCCTCCAAAACCAAAAACAATAATAAATTGGTCATTTTCAATCTACGATTGTTTGTGGGACATTGCTGTGCGCAATTGGCTGCCGCGTTCGCCCACAAATATACAGTCAATTCACTTTACAGTGTGTTCTGTGAAGCGCTTTGGGACGTCCTCCCGACGTGATAAGCGCCATATCAAATGCAAGGATTATTATTATTAGGAAACTTGCCCAAGATTTCGCCCTAAATTCTTTATAAAGACTTTTTAAAAAAATATTGCACAATGGAGGATCAATATGCATTTATATATTATAATAATAATCAGTGAAACAATTTTGTGATCTACATAATTCACTTGCACAACACAAACCTGCATCTATTCTGATATTCGAGCCTGCTTGCCTATTAATCATTAATCTGAATGGATCTGTTTCCATCCCAGTGACATTAGTCACACCCATTCTAATCTGATACCTGTATGTTTATTGCTTGATAATAGGGGAGAGTTAAATGGAAGGCTTTTAAGATTTTGCATTCCCCCATTTCACAGCTTGGTAAAATATCTTTTTATCTGCTTCCAGTTGACAGTACTTAGTATTTTTTCGGTTCCCGCAGAGTCAGGAATGGCATTGATCATTTCATAGAATCATAGAAGAGTCAAAGAACTTTCCAGCACAGAAGGAGGCCATTTGACCCATCGTGTCTGTGCTGGTTCTTTGGAAAAAGCTAACCAAATCAATCCGACTCCCCCCGCTCTCTCCCCATAGCCCTGCAAACTTGTCCTCCCCAAATAATTATCTACTCTCTTAAAAGTTATCGAATCGCCTTCCACCACCTTTTCAGGCAATGCATTCGAGATCCGAACAACGCACTGCATGAAAAAAATTCTCTTCACTTCCCCTGTTTTTTTAACAACTATTTTAAATCAGTGTCCTCGGGTTACCCCCTCACCCGCCAGTGGAAATAATTTCTCCTTGTTCACCCTATCGGATCCCCTCGTAATTTTGAAAACTTCTATTTAGTCTCCTCTTAACCTTCTCTACTCCAAGGAGAATAATCCTATCCTCTAGCCTCTCCTCGTGACTGAAGTCCTTCATTCCCGATAGCATCCTGGTAAATCTCCTTTGCACCCTCTCCAAGGCTTTGACATCCTTCCTAAAGTGTGATGCCCAGAACTGAGTACAGTCTCGAGCTGAGGCCTCACCAGTGTTTTATAAAGTTTCACCATAACTTCCTGACTTTTTGTATTCTATGCCCCTATTTATAAAGCCTAGTATCCCGTATGCTTTTTTCACAGCTTTATCTACCTGTCCTGTCACCTTCAAAGATGTACTTATATGAACCCCCAGGTCTCTCTGTTCCTTTACCCTCTTTAAGATTGTACCATCAGCTACGATTGTTTGTTTGATTGTTTGTGGGACATTGCTGTGCGCAATTGGCTGCCGCATTCACCCACAAATATACAGTCAATTCACTTTACAGTGTGTTCTGTGAAGCGCTTTGGGACGTCCTCCCGACGTGAAAAGCGCTATATCAAATGCAAGGATTATTATTATTATTATTATTATATCGCCTCTCCTCATTCTTCCTCCAAAATACATCACTTCACATTTCTCCACAATAAACTTAATCTGCCACGTGTCTGCCCATTTTACCAGTCTGTCTATGCCCTCTTGCAATCTGCTACTATCCTCCTTACTGTTTACTACTTTTCCTAGCTTAGTATCATCTGCAAACTTGCAAATTGTCGTCCCTATACCCAAGTCCAGGTCATTTATATAGATCAAAAACAGCAGTGGTCCCAATACTGTCCCCCGGGGGACACCACTGCACACTCTACCTCCAGTCAGAAAAACAGCTGTTCACCACAACTCTCTGCTTTCTGTCTCCCAGCCAGTTCTATATCCACGCTGCCACTGTCCCTTAAATACCGTGAGCTTCTATTTTGCTTACAAGTCTCTTTTGTGGCACTTTATCAAATGCCTTTTGAAAATCCCTATAAACTACATCAACTGCACTACCTTCATCCACGCTCTCTGTTGCTTCATCGAAAAACTCTGATCGGGTTTGTTAGACATGATTTGCCTTTAACCAATTCGTGTTGGCTGTCCTTTATTAGCCCATATTTTTCTAAGTGAAAACTTATTTTGTTCCGAACACTTTGACGGAACAGCTACAAAGCACCTATAGTGTTTCTCTTGGCCGTGGTGCTCAGGCCAACTATATACAGACTAATCATGGAGTTCAGTCGCCAGAAATGAAAGTAACAACGTGGTTTTCAGATAGGTACACGTGTGGTAGCTGTTTCTTGAATGCTGTAATTGTGTGGCAGCATTGGTGGCCTAGAACATAACAGAATCTACTCTAATATTTCAATGCAAGTCCTGAGATTAATTAACATAAAAAAGTGCAAACTGGCTTGTTATAATAGATTCATGATTTTTGCCTTGATAGAAGTAATTACTGTGGAAACCACAGAAATTCTCTCAGAACAGAAAACAAGCCTTTATTCCTACAACTTTGAATTTTGATCTCGGAAGAACATCACAAAATACCTGATTGTTCATACCTTTAATACCTGTAATACCAAAACAGAACAATCCAGTTTGTACATATTGGAGTCTAGGCCACTTTGACAAGTCTAACACTGTTGCCAAGTTGGCACTTGTAAGAATCTCCATCTACATTGTGAAATACTTATTGGATACTTAACATTGGTATATTGTGGTATATTAAGTAATGTATGTTTTCAGTAATAACAATAATCTTTGCATTTTGATATAGTGCTTTATCATGTTGTTGAGACTCTCAAAGCGCTTCACAGAATATATTATAAAGTAAATTGATTGTGCATTTTGTGGGCAAAACATGGCAGCCAATTGCGGACATCAATGTCCCACAAACAGTCGTGGAGTGAATGACCAAATTTATTTTTGGAGGGGGGATTATTACTCCCAGAAAGCGATCTGCCAATCGATTAACAACAGGTTCCTACTTACTGCGAGCGAAACCGAGACGGTGGAGTACAGGAAACATGCCTCAGGTTTCGCTCTGCCCAAGAATCGAACCTGGGTCCTCTCGCTTGCGAGCCGAGCGTGCTAACCACTACACTACGGGCCTCCACAGTAGATTTTTTATTGCCATGTTCTTTGTGCATAATAAATATTGTTATTTGTGCTGCTTTTCTAAGTGCTAATTTGTAAGTTTCTTGAGAAAATATTGCGGCATTTCAGGTTATTATAATACTTGTAATAGAAAAAGCTCCTCAATCATGATTTACAAAGACTGCCAGATTGCTCCCTCATGCAAATGACTGTCTGGCACTGGTGGACTGAGGTTCAAATAGAATGGGATGTGAGATAATAATAATCCTTGCATTTGATATAGCGCCTTATCAGACATCTCAAAGCGCTTCACAGAATATACTGTAAAGTGAATTGACTGTATATTTTGTGGTTAAACCCCATACAGCAGTTCCTACTAGTTTAGTAGTAGGAACTAGTTTAGTGTTTGCCATAAATGCTGTCGGTTTCACATAGATTTACATAGAATGTAAAGTATGAAACGGATCATTCAGTCCAACCAATCTGTGCCAGCCGGTGTTTATTCTGCACACGAACCTGCACCCACTCCTTACTCTCTCCCATACCTTCCTCCTAAATACCCTTCTATCACCTTGAATTGTTTTTTTGTGCGCGTCTCATTATTTCTCTGTGAGGCAATGTGCAAGTGTTTTAATAATACTCACACTCGAGTTCTTTCTTCATCTCATTACAGGAATTTAAGCTCAGCTAGTCCAGAAGGTCGAATCAAAATGAGAGAAAGTGAAGGCTTGATTGACTCACTCGTTCACTACATTCAGTTCACAATTGCTAATAACCAAGAGAATGATGAGGTAAAACTGAAAGCAAAAGATCTTTGAGAAAACAGCATAACATGGAGCTTAGAATAATAACGTTTTAAACAAGATTTGTGTTCAACATTATATGTACAGATAAAGGTTTTTGGTTGGTTTCTATAAAACTGGGGTCAGATGTCCATGGTTTAGTGGAACCGAAAGATCATGGAAAGCGGTGACAGAACACATAACATTTAGTCGTCTAAAGTTACAATTGGGCCAAGTTAACCATTGAGTCAGATGCATTTGTTTTTCATAACGACACTCAAAAGTGAATCAATTGCAAGTAGGACATGAGAATTCTAATATTTCAGAACAATGTGCTTAAGCAATGAATTCTATTACACTGAGTAAGGTGAAGGTAACAGATTTATGTTAATGTATTATAATGCCTTATGGATATGACAGAAGTAAGTAAATAACTTGCTTGTAAAAAAAATTATAATGTTTTATTTATAATGATAGCAAAGTTGCGATGGATTTTGTTTTACAAAATAACATGCTTCAATACTGCATGATAATACACAACATATCCTGCTATAAAAGATTAACGCACCATAAGGGTCCATAAATCATTGACCGAGAAATGAATTATTACCGAATTTTACGCAAAGAAGACACATAGAATGACAGGGTGAGTTAAAGGTAAAGTAAACATTGAACAAAAGCTGAGATCGTGTTTCATAAACATATCAATATTAACACTAGGTCATGGAAGCAGTAAATGTTCTGTTCCAAAGATTTATTCAGGGATTTTCTTATGTTTTAAGTGACTTAATAATAATAATAATAATAATAATAATAATCCTTGCATTTGATATAGCGCTTTTCACGTCGGGAGGACGTCCCAAAGCGCTTCACAGAATATACTGTAAAGTGAATTGACTGTATATTTGTGGGCGAAATGCGGCAGCCAATTGCGCACAGCAATGTCCCACAAACAGTCATGGATTGAAAATGACCAATTTATTATTGTTTTTGGTTTTGGAGGGATTATTATTAGGCGTGTGGAGTAAGGAAACTTGCCCAAGGTTTCGCCCTCTGCCGGGAATTGAACTCAGGTCTCTCGCTTGCAAAGCGAGTGCTCTAACCACTGAGCTACAGGATCCAAAGACTTGGATCTTTCTAACCAACGCTAGTAATCATGTTAGGTTAATAATAATATTTGCATTTGATATAGCACCTTATCATGACTTCAAGACATCTCAAAGCGCTTCACAGGATATACTGTAAAGCGGATTTATTAATTTAACAAAATGTATTAATTTAATAAACTTTATTTTATTATTGCCGGTTCTAATGCTCATGCCTTACTTTAATTCAGGCTGCAGAGAACTGCACCTGCATCCTACACAACCTGTCCTTCCAACTGGAGGAAGAGCTGCCAAGCAGCTATTCAGAGAGCTCTTCCTGGAAGCGCGATACATCATCGAGCAAGAAATCGTTTGGCTGCTTTGGATCGCGCAGTACAAAGATAAAACAGGTGAGGTACATCTTGATTTATACATTTACATTGTTTTTTCATTGTTTTATGTTCGTGTCATTACATTGAAAAGCTCTTATAAAGAAGGCTGGATGAAGCTAATGACTTTTTCCCTTTACATGCTTCGTTTTGAAGAATATTTGTCCAGTTGCATCAAGCAGCTTGCGTAAGGTTTCACCCCGTTCGGGAATCAAACCCGGGTCCTCTCGCTTGCGGAACGAGCGCCTAACCACTACGCTATGGAACTCCATCTTGTGGACCTGTGGTCACCTGAAGGGTGATGCATGTCAAGTTTCCGTGGAGGACCAGGCAGTTTCCTGTGCCTGCGGGCAGCGAACAGGAAGCTGGCCGTTCAGCTTGACCTCTCTCACAAGCGATTCTAGTACACAACACGCATGCGAGAGCTGTCATGGTTGTTGAAACATTATGCAGGTGGTCATTTGCATTTTAACAAATGCCATTTATTTGTTCCGCTTCAAAATGAAAGACCATTACAGGATTAAAATGTTAAATCGTGCCTTATTTCCCATTCCTTAACAGGGGATAAGCAGTGCTCCATTTCTGGAGGAGAAGAGAAATCCTAAAGGTGTTGAATGGTTATGGCACAGCCTATCGGTGAGGTTGTACCTGTCTTTATTAGCGAGGAGCACAAGAAGTTGCACTCAGGAGGCATCACTTGGATCCCTTCAAAACCTGACCGCAGGCAACGGACCAGTAAGATGAAATCAAAATAGTATAACACATTGTCATTGATCTACTTTTCTCACTTATCACAAAACGCACTCGTTTACATTTGCAGTTTTGCAAGCATTTTAACTGTATTTTCTACAAAACCTAAAACAGCAGATAATAATAATATTACTTGCATTTGATATAGCATCTTAATTCAACTAGGTACTGCCTGAGATCAGCTGACAGGATAGGCTGTGAGCCAACCTGGGCTGCTTGATTCAGTTGCATTTCTCACTGACAGCTTGTCTGAGTTGGCAGCACTCTCGCCTCTGATTTGGAAGTTTTTGTGTTCATAATCCAACGCTGACGTGAAAGGCGCTGTGTCAAATGCGAGGATTATTATTATGTGTCACAGATATCTTTTGTGCCACTTTGAACATTTTTACAGACAGGCCAATTTATAACTGGTGATGCTGAAAGCTTTCAAATGTCATTGCAGAGGGACATTAATTCTTGGGATATAATTATGATTCATTTAAGTAAATAGGAAACCAATTGCTATGTTAAACTTTGTGAAAATCCAATGCAATATTTGCCTTCTTGATAAAGGCCATACATTTATTCGATAATCTGTTTCACTAACCAAACCACACAAAAACAGAAATCACAGTAGGTAAACATCATCTATTATGGGTGTTTGAAACCTTCCTTTTAACCTCACCACAGTTCTCTGTCAATCTGAATATCTTTCAGTAACACGGGAGTCTTACACTGTTCAATAAAGAATTTTCTGACCATTTTCTACATGAGGATTTTTATTTTAAAGTTAATTTCCCCTTGTTTGTTAATAGATGGGCTATACTATTTCTGAGATTATCACGTTGAAAGAGAACGGTCTCCAACACATTAGGCGAATGCTGTACTCACAGGAACCGGGAGTGCAGAAAGCTGCAGTCTCTTTGCTGAGGAACATGTCAAGAAACTCTAAAGTCCATGACGAGCTGGGTGTGTCTCACTGACTAAATAGTATAGTATTTCAGCTCAGGCTGTGTTTGTTTAACTTTGGTATTAAATGAAGGTTTTAAAGGTGCAAGTCTTAACATTTGTATTCGTGTTTCATGCTTTTAAACAAAGGTAAATGGAGAATCATTTTTTTTATTAGGACAGTATTTATCTAAATGTCACGTATAATGTTGTAAATTGCTAACTCTAGATAGAACATATTCTATAAATCAATTCAGTTGTTGGCTGATTATGTGAAAATAATCCAACACTGAGGTTTATTTTAGTAAATCCAAAGTATTTAGGTTTGTTGTACAGGGAGCACAGTTTCCTGCAGTAATTTTGCATTTTAAGAAGGATACTGCATTTAACATATAGTATGTAGTTACTTACTTTCATGTTAAGGGAGTGTTGAGTTAATGGATAGTTAGGGAGTTTAGGGAGACAAAAGAGCTGCATAGATAGTGACTACTACCTGACATCCTTCAATTTTCTGGGCTGTATTCAATGCTGCATATTCAGTGTTACCATCTGGATATCAATAGTGGTAATGAAATGACTTACAATAACAATAATAATCTTTGCACAAAGTCATGGGCTAATGTTATTTGGTATCATTAAATCCAGTCATTTTTATATCAAGCCTTAAGCAGTGACTTTCTTGCAACTGTTATGACGGATGAAGAAATACAATGGAATGTGATCTGTTTTTTAGTTGGTAAGATTATGCCTGATCTGATTGCAATACTTCCTGAAACGAACGACAATTCCACAATCCTCAATGACACGGTGGCTTTCTCTTGTCACGCACTGAACAATTTAATCCAGAACAAAGTGTCAAGTGCACAAAATTTTGTGCAGAATGGAGGCTTGAAGAAAGTGGTAAACATCAGCAAGAATGACCAGTAAGTTGGAATATGTCCTCAACACTGAAATAGTGAAAGGAATATAAGTGCTGATCTCTGCTTTGGGAGTCTTCTAAAATATTTCATGTGTGATGTGAAAGGCGCTATATCAAATGGAAGTATATATAAACATATTATGCAATATATATATAATGTAATATATATATATATTGTGTGTGACCAAATTCATATGACTCACTGGGGAGGGGTTGGAGTAGAATAATTCAAATTAATTGATGTATGTGTATGTATGTGTGTGTATGTATATATATATATACATATATATTTGGAAATTTATAGCAGATGATGGAAATTAGTGATGCACACAAACACTGACATTTTTTTGTTAACATGAGCTTTATACATTGGGTGAATTTTAGTTAGCCTGTGCTGCCCTATTTGGTACAGATCATTATTGTCAGTTAGTTATGTGATCTGATTTTGACCGTGCCTGAAAGAAAATTTCTAATGTTGCTTTTACGTTTTTCAGTAATGTTAACACCAAGTCTGGTAGTGCTGCCGCTCATCTGCTGTACGGTTTGTGGTTCCATCGGGATCTTCACCACAGTTACAAAAAGGTACGGTACTGGCTTTGTATTGCTGCATTAACTTGCCAATGCATATAAGAAGGAAACGTGAGACATACAGGAGAGAGAAGGGATTAGAAGTGTATATGAGATGGGGACAGGAGTAACAGAGGTTTGAGTAGAGTAGTTGGGCTGTCTGGTTTGTTTCCATGGTGGATCACTATGTCATTTTATGCAAATATAAATTATATTACACAGAATTTTGAAAGACAACCACAGCCGGCTGTAAAGCAACAGCATACTTTTGTTTTATTATCTTTCAAAGCTTTCACTTTACTTCATTTGATGCTTTCTTCCAGTCTCCCACTTCCATCTATCTTAGAAGGTGGGAGAATTTTTTTTTCTACAAAGAGTGTTTCTCATAGGTTAAAGACTGCCTTTACAGGTTGTTTTTTTTCCCCCCAGTTAATAAATAACTGAAACCTGGAAGAACAACTCTCCTTCACATTGTAAATATAACTAAATCAACCACTGATACCATGGTTGGTTGGGTCTAGATTGTGAATCGGAAGTTGTGGAGTGGATTCATTGGTAGCTCACAGCTGTACCTTGAATAATGCAGCGTACTTGCATGGACATGCGTACATTGCTGGCATGTGAAAGCTTTATGTAAAGGTGCTGTTCACAATAGAATCCTAAGTTAAATACTGCAGATGTGTGAATCTCAAATAAAAACAGAGTGCTGGGAACACTCAGAAGGTCAGGCAGCATCTATGGAGAGGAACGTGGGTTAACGTTTCAGGTCGATGATCTTTCATCAGAACACTAGCGCTATTTAGTTTCCTGAGACATAGCGTTATAAAATATTCAAGTTACGCACACAGACTAATAGATGGCGCAGTTATGAGTTATAAACAAATGACTTCCCGGAAAGCTCATGAAACATGAGACAAGGCAAAAATGAAGCCCTCTCTTGATCTCTTATTATCAAAACCTTGCTCCATGTATTACAACATTCTTCACACCGCCCACCCAACCCTGGAAGATATTTAAGCAACCTCAGATGGTAAAATATAAGTGATTAAAAAGTCCAGTGTTCACCTAACTCACTGGGATAATTAACACTAGAGAGCGTGGCACAAGATCTGTAGTATAGTTCCCTGACTATATGGATTATATTTACATTGGTGACATGTTTGTGGACAGTAGTTCCTATGATATATTTTATCCCTCTAAGGATGGGAAGTATTTAGAATGTTTTCCAGAATGATTTAAAAAGGATTTTTCATTCATAAAAATGGCATACCATTGCAGTGTCAATTTTCTAAGTTATTTTAAAACGGTATGAAATTACTTGCTGTTTCTTTTTGAATGTCAATGCGGATTATATACAGGAAGATTTAAATAGCTTTGTGTAATTAAAGCAGAAAGATTCATGGCGTAAGATAAGTGCGATGTTGCAAGATTCACTTATGAAAAACACAAGAGGTATTGATCGTTGTTGAGTAACTTCACTCGTTGTAACATAGTGGCTGTTTATTCAAAGGCTGGGTTCATAAAGACAGATTTCATCAACAACAGGACAACCAAGGCATACCATGCAACCCGCGAGTTCAGCAAAGGGAGGAAGTCATCCTACTGAGAATACACTGTGCCGAGATCAGCTTGATGTTAAAGAGCAAACCTGGAAAATCAAAAGGAAAGCCTTTAAGTTCAGACAGTGATGGTTAGAAGCTACATTAGGGTTTACACTAGAATAATTACTCTGTATGTGTGTGTGTGTGCTATGGCTTCATATTGTTAATAAAATCTCACAAATCTGCATATTAGGAGACATCATCACTTTTAATTTGGAACATCTGTAGATGAATGATATAGACCACTCATTATTTTTGTGAGGTAAGGATATCGAGGGATATGGGGCAAAAGCGGGTATTTGGAGTTGAAATACACATCAGCCACTATCTAATAGAATGGTGGAACTGGCCTACTCCTATTCCATGCACTCCCAAGAAAATAGACTTGCAATTGGGCCACACAGGTTATCAATGAACAAAAGGGTTCTTAACTGCTGTAAATCTCTGAGGAATTGATTTACTGGATCTGATATGTGTTTGTAAATAAACACATCAATCCAGCGCACCCTGTATCTCATGCCGTCTGCTGATCCCTGTAGGTGAAATTGTCCCATTGCCTTGAACGACTTGGATTTTTAAAAAAAATTGTACTAGTCCTTTGCATTTAATAGGATGTTTGCCCAGTCAAGTGCCTTTATTTGGGGGAAATGAATTTGCAGTTACTTGCCTATATGTATATTGAAAAGTAGACTTTTTCCATAGCTGATATGGCCCACACGTAGGCCACAAAACAATAAGACTCCACAGCTAGATTTTTAACAGTTATTTCTGTGACATACACCTAGTTTATGTTCCTTTTGCCCTTATTGGTGGTAGTGCTCAATCACAAATGCTGCAAAATAAATTCATAGCCTATCGATGAAAGATGTGGTTTAGTTGTTATATACTTACTTCAATAACATTCACAAATATGCCTGAAGCTTTTCCCGGTGGCATCGCTTTTGTTGAATAACATTTGCTTGCTTATAAAAAATAATTGTTTTGCAAGTTACTCCAATGAAACCAGTTTTTTTTTTATTCATTGGCAACAGTGGGAAGATGAATTATTGCTGAGAGTAATTTAGTCAAAAGCTTATGCTTCATATATTATTGTACTTGTTCTTAAGAACCAGCAACTGGAAATAAAAATGGCAATTTCACTTCATTTGTTTTGCTCACATCCTGTGCCACTGTTATTCTATCTGGTAATAGAAAAGAGGGGAATTGATGTTTCTGGATGATTTGCACTTGTTAAATCTGTGGAATGGTTTGTGTTTCAGGACTTTTTATATTTAGACGTTTATATGCATACATATTAAAGCACAGTTATATCATAGTGCAATGCATTATTGTTCTTATTGCCTGCCTGTTCATAGCGCCAGTGTATCAGTGTCAGGTGAAGAAATTGCAGAGACAAATGGCTCTTGATTTACAATGGTTCTGAGTTGAGTACGCTTTAGATACTTGTCCATGTGAAAGATCGTTGTTCCTCTACATATTAGTGCATTAATAATCATAACAATCTGTAGAAAATTGCCGTCTGTATGTTGGCTGCCACATTTGCCTACAAATACAGTTACTACACTTTACTGTGAAATCCTGTGAAGTGTTACTTTTCTAATGAGTGATAAGAAGTTATACCAACATAAGAATTTGTTAGGCGAAAGCTCCATCTAGTTTGCCTTCCACCATCCTGGCAGTCGCTTGACATGTCGTGTCCTGAACTATATAAAAATCAAGATGCAAGATTGTTTTAGATAAAGATTTAAAGAGTTATGGGGCTTGGGCAGGGCAGTGGGCTTGAAAGAAAAGCTTGTTCTTAGAGCTGGCCCAGACTTGAGGGGCTGAATGGCCTCCTTAAGGGCTATAAATTTTTATGTTTCATTACATTGTGTAGTATTGCATGCCATTACATCATTTTACAACTCCATACACACCATTTGATTAGCACTTCACAACCACCTGCTGGCTTTAATATAAAATGTAATAAAATAAAATATACTTTCATCGCGAAAATTCTAGAAAATCCAATTCTACTTGCTAAGAACTCACAGAGGCAAAGTTCCAGGTTGTAAGTTCTGGCATGCAGTGAATGGTAGAAGACTCCCTTTTACCTGTGGCCAATGGAAACTCATGAGAAAAGCAAACCAAAGAGGCTACTTAGGCTACTTCTGGCATTAACCCAGCAAAATCAATGCAGTTTACCAGCTCGGGGTAGTGGCAAGTTTCCTGTTGCTTGTCTAATGAAGATAACCTTAACAATCAAAGCTTTAACTTGTAGGATTAGCAGGACCCCCAAGTAGGAAGAATTATGTCCTCCAATGTTATTGATTTCCCTCCAAGTTCCATTGATCATTATGAATTTCTTACCTTCCTGTTACAGGTGTTGGATCATTGAGTTCACAACAAAGAATTCACTCTGTTCCGTTCGACAGGATTGTTACCATTTATCATACGCCCAAGAAGCATAATCACGAGTTGGTTCTTGGACACCTGACAACTTTAGGCTCACTTTCGAAACGATATCCATTTCAATAATGAAAAAACAAAAACAGAAGTCGCTGGGAACACTCAGCAGGTCAGGCAGCATCTATGGAGAAAGGAAAGTGAGTCAACTTTTCGGGTCCACGACCCTTTGTCAGAACTGGGGCATGTTGAGAGGGAGAGGCTTTTAAGGGCTAAGAGAGAGAGGGGGGAGGCAGGGCAAGGAAGACAAAGGAGAAAATGGGGTAGAGGACAGGGGATGATGAGTTAAAGAGGTGTTAATGATGCAGAACAAAAGGGGGGCGTGGGGTGGGGGGAAAGAACTTGAAACAAGGGAGGGAGACCCAGAGAGAGAAAAGGTGTGTCTGGGACCAAGATGATGTGGCAATGGTCACGGAAGAGGGGGAGGGGGGAGGTGAGCAGTCATGGTCTGAAATTGTTGAAATCAATAGTGAGGCCAGAGGGCAGTATGGTCGCCAGCAGATAAATGAGGTGCTGTTCTTCGAGCTTGCGCTGTGGCTCATTGGAACAGCGTAGGAGACCGTGGATGGAGAGGTCGAAGTGCGAGAGACCGGAAGCTCAGGGTTGTGCTTGCGGACCGAACGGAGGTGTTCGGCAAATCGTGTTTTGTGTCTATTTCAATATTGTTGCACTTATGCGGTGACTTGATTTCAAGTCCTTCAGAAGAAAATGCTAAATATTTTATTATATCTGTTAAACTGTGCAGCAGCTTTTTGCTTCAAAGGAGTTTTATTTTGGTTGTATAACAGACAACAACAATTTTGCGTTCATATAACACCTTTCATGTTAGGAGGCTGCCTCAAAGCGCTTCACTGAATCTCTGAGCTGGGGCGTGGAGCAGCTGAGGAAGGACTTGAATTGGAACAGAACATTCAACTTGTATTGAGGACCACTGGGTGTTAGACCTCGATATGAAATGTGTCTTCTCCTTGAATTCCCTCTCCCCAACTCTCTTGAAAGTGTCTTGATTCCTTTTGTTTGCTGAGATACAGCTCCACCCACACTTAATAGTATTTCACCTGAGTGGCTATTCATGCCTTTGTCTTGACTTGGGACTTGGGAGATTTCCAGTCAAGTCTGATCCTGTCTTCACCTGACACGCTCTTATGTGCATTTTCTGTCCTTGTTAAGCCATGCAGCAGCTTTTTTTTCACAGTCATTGCCCTGCCTACCTTGAGGGTTAACACATGTGAATTCCTCTTCTTTGTTGGCACAAATTGAATTCTGTGGTTTTGGCCACCGTGGAAACTCTGCATGTGGGCTCAGGTTACCTAGAAATGCTTCAGGTTTGCTTAATATATTAGAACTAAAATTTGCTGAAGGTATCCTCAACTGTAGTGTGACAATGTGCACCTTTTTAATCTGTGGTTATATGCAGTGTTATGGGGTATGTAGCGTCTTGATATCTCAGGTTTGTTCCCCTACATGTTCCTTGAGGTTCATGCACATCGTGCAAGTGTCAGATCTGCCATCAACTCTCAGCCAACAGCCAGTTTGGTGAGAATGTCACAGGAAAGATTTCCCATCTGGTTTTCCATACTCTCCAGGAGAAGTTATCTGGTTTTTGCTTGGTGCTTCCTGACAGCGGAGTGAGGAATCAAACCTGCACACCACAACGCTCTGTCATAATAATAATAATAATCCTTGCGTTTGATAAAGCATGCCTTACCTCATTGTTGAGATATCTCAAAGTGTTTGATGGAATGTAACAACAACAAATCACAACAACAGTAACAAATTATATTTGTGTGACGCCTTTCACATCGGGAGGATGTTCCAAGGCGCTGTATTGCAAGATGGATTGAATGTGTATTTTGTGGCCGAAATGCGGTAGCCAATTGCACACAGCATGTCCCACAAACAGTCATGGAGTGAATGACCAAATACATTTTTTTTTTGGTGGGGGGGGGTGGGGGAATCGCCATTTTCATAATTGTGCTCCAATGTGCTCTGCCACCAAGGCCAGCAACTTGGATAACCAGATAATGTTTACCCGATGTTATACATCCACCTATGTCAGTTTATAGAATCCACATAGTGCTGAATATAATTCCTGAAGGCAATTATTCATGATTCCTTAAACTCAATCACGTAAGAACGTCTCATCTTCCTACAATGTGATACTATATCACTATTTCCCATCAAGTCAACCTTGCATCATCTTAGCTAAATTTGTAGCCCATAGTGTTAACAGTTTTGTGTTATCAACTTGGAACCAGTGAATCATATTAATTTGCCCAAATTAATTTCTCTTATGATTATTAGATAGAGTAGAGAGCCCAATGGTGAAAGATCATTGTTGTAATTTAATGTGCTATACCTCCATTGAGAACATTTATGATGCATTTACCCAAAGTTTGAGACCACTCTTCCATGACTTCAAGATTTTATCAAAATGATGGTGATTGCTAAACATAGTGGTCTGTTCATCACATTTTTATAATGCAAAAAGTAGGAGAATCTAATGAATAATAATAATCCAGGAGAATGCCTCAAAGCACTTCACAGGATACATTGCAAAGTGGAGTGAGCATGTATTCAGTGGGCAAACCTGACAGCCAATTTGCACTCAGCACAATTTGTTTTTAGATTCTTATTTTTATTGATCAGCATAAAATTGACCCCTATGTTAAGTAGCTANTTTTTCCCCACAATATTTTAGATTAAATTGAATCGATTGGCTGTTGTCAACGGGTGCCAATTTAAGCAATAATTTTCATTTGATGGAAATTCATGAGGTAGCATTTCATGCTAACTAAATGACAAGTGTAATTAAAGATTAGGTGTTGCTTTTTGCCCAATTCACAAGACAGCTGAAAATTGCAGT